TGCTTGTTTTCATTACTATATTGCTTTTTGTCACTTCATGCAGGTTAAGTGTAGTCACCACATTCTCAACAAGATGTTGATATATTCCCTGCCACGCTGCATACTGTTTTTATTGTTTTCTGCTCAAAGGCAGTAGTGCTCCTGTTTGTATATTTAAATTTTGAGAGGGACTGTTTGGTGACAGATGGAAAACTTATCTAATGTTAGAGACAAGAATACCAAGGCCCCTTTGTACCTTCTTATATAGGCTTAAGTTTTTTGGTGAATTGGAGTTTTACAGAAACCTGGGTCTTGTCAGATGACAAAATTGCTTCTCTGCATTTAGCATCTTACTTTTGGCAGCGGTCTGGATTGATGCCTCAGAAGCATATTGCAATTTGTTCTTCATCACAGAATCACAGAAACACCAAGGTTGGAAAAGATCTACAAGATCATCCAGTCCAGCCATCCACCTATCAACAATAGTTCTTACCAAAATTCATGCTTGTATCACATCCTGCTCCAGCATACAGCGCTGTGTACTGGCATGTGTTCCCACAATTATCAGTTTATGCCCCATCCAAGTGTCTTGCTACAAGTTATGAACCTTCTGAAAAGCTTATTAACCTACTTACAAAAATAATACTAGTGAGCTCCAAAGCTAAGTCCTTAACAGTCACATAGACCTAAGAAAACTATGCTATTTGTCTTTTTATCTTACATCCAAATGAGATTGACAGGTGTTATTGACTTTCAGTGAAAAAGATAAGTTACAGTAGCTGAAACTCCAAAATGATATGTGACCAGACAGCAGAAAATCATTGCTTCTGTTCGAGCAGTCAGTCAGCCATGCAGAGACTTACTCTCTTTCTCTACTGTTACCTAACCTGCTCTCCCTGGAGGAAGGAAGAGTGGAATAATCTTTCTGGCAGTTCCTTTTCTGGATGGGCAGAGCTGTGAAGGGTTGATGTTCTCACCCCATGGGAAGATCTCTGGAAAGGATGCAAGAAAACCTCCTGTGTGGTCTGTAGAAAGGGCTAGTGCTGTCCCTCCTACAAATCCAGGAGAACATGATGAAAATCCCATGAATTTCAGTGTAGGCACTTTTAGTACAAAAATCCAGGTGACTTGTTTCTTGGTTAGGTTGGTAAACAGAGCATGATGATTTCATGAAGCCTTCTAGATAATGAAGATTTGGTCTGAGCTGTTCCCCTACTCTCAGGTGTGTCTGTCTTCTCCTTTGACAGTGGTGTGGAGGAGAGGCAGAGGCAAGAGAGAGGGGAAATGAGCTGATCCTATGCTCATCTCTCCCAGTGCAGGCACCAGAGCATCGAAGTAACACTGTGGTCACTGGTCTCTATTGCTCTTTAAAACAGGTTAAAACTCGGCGTTGCTGAATTACCAACTTCCAAATCTGAGTTTTCTCCTCAAGGCTTTTGTGCCTTTTCTCACTGATGATTTTCGCTTGAGTCTTTGAATTGTTAATACTGATTTAATTTATTAATTTAATTCATTATCATTAATATATCATTACATATCATTAATTTAATTCATTTGATCAATGACGGATTTCTGAGTTGCTGCTCTTTGGTGATTGATTATACCTGGTACAATAGGCTTTCCAAGGCAGAGAATTCCTCTTCTAAATGTATGTTTTGGGGTCTGTTGCCTACTTCTAAATGGATTATCTTATTTCATCTTTCAGAATCATATCAATCATTTCAGTAGCATTTGCTTCATAAACGTGTTAGCACATGTTATTACTTGACAATAATAATTGCACAAACACACTGGCACTATCTCCAAAATCTTTTTATTCCTCTCATGTTTTTACTGTTTTTTCTTTGTGAGAAGCTAAATGATATATATTCAAGTTTTGTTCTGGTTGGAATTGTTTTGTATTCTCATGGCATGGAGGATTTTCAGGCTTGAATTCCAGTGCCTTTGATAAATAGCATGGTGGTGATTACCCTAAGCTAAAACTTGAATTTTCACTTCTTTGTGTCATTAAAGGCACCATTAGTCTACGAAGGATTAGCTTATAGTAATAAGTACAGACCAGTTTCTTTCCTACATGGGTCTGAATGTCTGGTACATATGCTTCAGTGTTATGCAAAAATTGTTCCTTTGCTTGTATTGTGATGAATATAGTTTCAGAAGGGGTGAGACGTACCTCTCCGCATTAAGCATAAATAATGGAAAATATGAGTGTACTTTCTGGCATAAATATGAGAGACTTAGAGCAAAAAGACTGCATCATTAACTTTGTCCTATGTTTTGAAGACTTCAAAGGATATTTTTAGTCAATTTGTTACTGGCAAATATTATCAAATTAATGAGATGTTAGTTTGAGAGAAACATGTGGGCAATAATCTGCTTGATAAAGTAATATCTGATAATATAATTACGCATAGAGAAAAGATACATGTGCTGAGTGCCATTTAGTTGTTGTATGTGGCCATACTAGTAGAATTTTCAGAAAAGAGGAAAACAATCTAGTTTCACAATGAATAGAAAGAATTATATGGCTACTTTTTTCTTGGGTATACTTATTCATTTTTTTATTTTTCCAGTGTTTTGCTTAATTTGGCTGGTGTTTTTTGTGCTCTCATCAAGCCAGTGGAGCTTAGCTGATCTTATTGTCTGTAGGGATAGGGAGATGAATGATGCTCATAGAAATAAGAGTTTTTCCAAGCAAAAGTGAATAATTTTGAATTTTATTATAATCCCAATTCCATGTGGTTCCTGGAAAGGAAATCCTTGCATTACATTGAAACAGGCTGATCAGGGAGGTGATGATGCTACTGTTCCTGGAGTTGTTCAAGAAATGTGTAGATGGGGCACTGAAGGATATGGTTAGTGGGCATGGTTGGAATGGGTTTGTGGTTGGACTAGATGATCTTAGAGGTCTTTTCCAAACTTCATGATTCTAAGAGTTATGACTAACTTTTTCATTTGATACCAGCCAACTAGTTCTTCCAGTGGTATGGCTATGTAAAACACAACTTTGAGTGCTTGATAAAGTAGCAGGTTTTTTGTTCACTTATGTTCACTTTTGTTCAGATGAAATATAATTATTTTACCAAAAGAGGAATTTTAACATTTTCATATAAGTAAGCAGAATAAAATATTTTAACATGTCTGAAGATTATTTCTACAGCATCCAAAGTGACTTTGTCACTTAAAACTCCCAGGAGGGCATGTCTTTTAATGCTAGCAGCTAAGGGTTGTGCATTAATTTTTAAATCAACCTTCTTATGGCATTTAGAAAACAGTTATTTTGGTTGCTGTGATTGAGGTCAGAAGCTCACTGATAATACTTATGTTGCATGAGTTTGAATATGCTTTTCTGAAATTTCACTGCAGACTTTGACATCTCTGCTGTCAGGAGAAGCTGTATCAGGCAGTTTGGCTTCTGGGCATGTATCTGTTGCCATTTCCTCATAGCCTCAGTTTTGATATAAACTTTACCTCTGGGAATTAAGATTCATTTAATATGTATAAAACTTTCATATAAAATATCATACCTTTTTCCTTGCTGTCTTCTGAAATATAAGAGAAGTTCCAGATTCTAATGAAAAATTTCTTGCCTTCATGTTTTATTAAGGCTCTTGTGCACTGATGCTTGGGATGAGTTCAGGAGAAATAAAGGCACACTGTTTAATTATTTGTCTTGTTGCCTTAGAAACATCTGAATATGTACTTTTTTTTCCTGGCAATTTTTTGTGGCGGTCATGCTTATCTTCTGCTGTGTTCCATCCATTTGGAAATGTGTGCATTAAGATATTATGTTTGCCCTCTTGTTTCTTCATAAATGCACTGGCAAACAGTAAGATCCTACTACTTGTAAATAGGAAAATAAATAATCTATAATTATTTAATTGTATAATTCCTTGTAACATAGATCTGGCAAACTGTCAGAGGAGCAGGAATTAGGGGTGTTTTGAAGAAGAAATGATTAATTTAAGCAAGGAGGGGTTTGCTGAAACTGCTGTATCTTCATGACTAAATAAACAACAGGAAAAAAGGGAGTTTTAGCAAGGTTTAATCTTTAGACCTGAGTGATTTGATACAGTCTTATCCAAAATTTTGAGAAGTGCAATCTTCTTTGGTATGTCTGTCTTCATATGACTACTTGAATTTTCATCAGTATCTTTCTTCAAGGACTTTCTTCAAGTTAATTGATGGAAGTGTTTCTGTTCACTCTTCTGCTCTGGAGGAATGGAGCCACTCTCAGCATTTAGCCATAATTTGTGGTCTTCTGATATGTATAAGTACTTGCACCTTGTTTTTCCTACCATGTCCTGAGAGAACTAGCCAGCAGGGAAATGTTAAGTGGCAGATGTTACTAATGTGCGTACTCGAAACCAGTTGGGAATTGAACTTCTGATTCTGGATCACTGTCCAGAAGGCCTGAATACTTTTTGGAATTTCCAGAGCAAGGTAAGCAGGCAACATTTGAGGTGTTGTGCTACCTCCGAGGCTTAGGGACAGTCAGAAGCAGGGAGTCTTGACTTTAGTTATGTCCTCTCAGAATTTTCTTTTGAAATTCTTTACAGCAGTTGCTTGCTACCTAACAAATGTACTGTGCTTCTTTGCTCAAAGAGGAATATTTCAGAGTTCAGCAGATTGATGGCAGCTGTTGTAGAAGTACGACAAGTTGAGGTGTTCTCCAAAACATGAAAATGGTCTGGCAGGTGACAGCACAGTAATCAGTATGTTTCAGTATGAATTTTCTAAAGTGTAGGCTTAAGGAATAAGTGTTATTCAAGAATCTTAACTTTCTATGACTTTAGGTATGCTGTAGTTATGACTTTTTTAATCTGTTAACATAATACATACTTGAAAAAAGACTGGTTTGCTTTATTTCCCCCTATTTTTCCTCTCCCAATTTGGTCTTACTGCTGTTGGGAACTATAATTGCTTAATTTTCCTTGTTTGCTGTATAACTTACTGATGTTACAAATGTCTCCTTTATTGTCTCTTTCCTCCCTCCCCCTGCTACCCCCAAAAATATGCAGGAAGTAATTTTGGTACTGCTAAGGATCTGACAGAAGAAATAAGATCATTAACATCTGAGAAGAAAGAACTGGAAGGACTTCTCAGTGAGCTTCTAGTTTTGAGTGCCCGAAACATCCGGAAACTAGAGAGAATTAAAGATGATTACAACAAACTGAAGCAAGAGCTTGAACATGGAGAGACTGCCTTTAGTAAGTAGTTCACAGGCTGTTACAGCCTTTGCTCTGTCACAGGCATCTGGAAGTCTACTGGCTTTGATAAAACCGTCATGCATTTACAAAACATACAGATTTTCAGAAGAAAGATTGGCCAGAACTTAGATAAGCAATGTGCTAGATAGGCTTTCATCTGTTTGCTCTGGGGAAGAGTGAGCTCAGGGAGAGAGGGGATATCCTGGCAATATACTGCTTTTTGAGCTCTGTTTTAACCCAATTCTCAATACTTTATTTTTCTAAATCCCATCAGAATTATAGTGATGATGATAATGTGCATGAATTCACATACAGAAAAACATATGCAGTCTTTTACGTGCTGACAGTAGGTGGTGTTGGTTGTAATAGCAGTGCAGCCTATTTAATAAATCTCTGGTAATGACTCTGAATGAATGAGGTGTGATAGGTACATGGTTCTGAAGGAAAGAGTTATTTTCTTAAACTTATGCTTGAAGTGTTTTAAAGCCTATCAAATGCAGCTTGAATTCAAACACAAGGGCAGTGTGCTGAGGTGGCACTGTTATGATGGACTGGGAAAATTCTCTGCAATTACTGGGAAAACTGCTGACAAATTATCAAAATTAGCAAAGCCACTATTAGTCTTGGATTACCCTATCTTCTACTGTTCTCCTTCCTGAAGTTAGGCAGATAAAATAGGCTTGTTGTTTGATTAAATGAATAGGCTGAATAACTATTACTTGCAAATATAGTTACTATAGATACCTCTAAATAGAAAAGTATAAATATGAGAGCTATTATGAAGCTTTAGAGACTCGAAATTTCTTTCCTTTTTCAGAATTTTATGAGCAGTAAGTTGGTTGAGAAGAGGAAGAATGTCTGCTTTTGAAGCACATGTAGACTCTTCATAGAGAATTGGACAGGCAGAGGTATCTTAGAAACAAAGTTTTTGTAAACAACTGAATACATCCAGGGCTATAGTTTTTAAAAGAAAAATAGAAAAATAAACACACACGCAGCTTAGATTAGAAATTGCTCTGCTAGAAACTAAATGGCCGTTTAAACAATTTTTTGATCTTTTTGGTTCCTGATAGTGTGTAATTACCTAAGCCATGTCATCCAAACCCACAGAAAGAAAACACATCAGACGGTGTTTCCTCATCACCTAAAATTGCAAATCAGTTGAAGGGGGGAGTATTCTGACTTTCCAATCTGTCCATTGTGTTTCTCCTTTTGTTTCTCAGACAATTAAATCTCCTCTAATACATACACACTTCTCATTTACACACTTCAGCAACATTTCAAACAAAACCTCTGCAAGAGTATTGCTGAAGTAACAGAATTGTTGGCACTGAAGAGGCTCTATTTTTTTTTCCCTTTGCATTTGTGTAAGTGTAATGAGATTTCCTTTAGGTATGACCTCTACTGTCCTAAAATTAGTGAAAACAAATTGCGAAGCACTTCATGTTTACTGCTTGGATTGTTTTTTAATTTATTATAATTCTGTAGGCATAAAGAGAAATTTATTCCTTCGTAACATAACTCTACCAAGCACATAATGGTCAGAGATACATAAATTGAAATCTAAGATATTCTCATTTTCTTGTCCCTGACCTCCTTGCGTGTATTCTGAACTGTTTTCTTCTTAAAAATATGGAAACACTTCTAGGTTTGAAATTGGTAGCATGAAATTGGTACCACCATGTTTAACTGAATAACAGCATTCTGATACACTCTAGAAAATGTGAACAAATTATGTCTTAAAAATGACATCCACTTTTATGAACCAGTTGATATTTTGTGTGGTACTTTCATGTTTAGAAAATAAAGCACGAAAATTTGAAACAGGATTTTATTGCCTTGGCATAATTAAAAGATGTAGTATACTATGATTGAACAGGTTGTTGCTATAGCTGTTTCTCTATCTCTTGTTTGCTTGAATGCCACACAATACTGCCTATGGTGGCTTTATCATGGGTGAGGAAGCCCATACCCTTATGGGATACATTAGGGTGAAAAGAGAGCTGCCAAATGCTGAGAAATACATGTTGCTTTTATACATGGTGTGTTATGTTCGGTTTTGCTGTGATCTGTGGCATTTTCTTTGTTATTTAAAATAACTGGAGAAAATCGAGTATATTTTTCTGCACTGTAAAAGGTACAACTTGAGTGAGGGCTGGAGCACCTCTCCTATGAAGAAAGGTTGAGGGAGTTGGACTTGTTTAGCTTGGAGAAGAGAAGGCTCTGGGGAGATCTCACTGTGGCCTTTCAGTACTTGAAAGAGGGATGGGGATGGATGTTTTGCATAGTCTAGTAATGATACAACCAAGGGCAGAATGGATGGAAACTAAAAGAGGAGAGGTTTGGATTAGGTATTAGGCAGAAATTCTTTAATTGGAGGGTGGTGAAAAGCAGGAACAGGTTGCCCAGAGAATCTGTGGATGCCCCATCACTGGAGCCATTCAAGGCCAAGTTGGATCGGGCCGTTGGCAACCTGAGTTTGTAGTTCACTTGAGGCAAAATTAACCATGCTAATTTAAATAGCAAAAACAAGCAAGACTATCATGATTGATTCTTGATACACAATTGAGATGTATCTGTGATTCGTCCTTGTGCAGAGTTGTGCTGTGCTTTGACCCAGCTCAACTTTTTATGAGATAGCTGCCTATCAGTTAGAAGTAGGTTACTGAAAGTAGCACGTGGAAAGTAGTTCTAGTCTCAGGATAGTGGCATGGTTGAAGTTGGAAAGGATGCCAGCTGGTCCAAACCTCACTGCTCTAATAGGGCCACCAAGTTAACAGAGACCACCTTTATGTCTCTTAGTCTGTTATTTGTAGGCATTGGTCTAGTTTAAATACATCAGTGGTTTTAAACATCTTTTGCTGTAGAAAAAAGATGCTTTGTTTTTCTCTTGAAAATTAAGTTAAGGTGGCAAGATCTGTTGTCACCTCAGTCTTGCTTTTCTCTTGTTTTCAGGCAATAACATTCTATTTACTCCCCTCTTTTGTTTTGTAATGTCTTGAAACCTTCTGCACAGGTATTCCTACTTATAGTTATTCCTGTGTAATTTGGCACTTGAACTGTTATCTTTCATGCCTGTCAACTTCTTAAAACTTTTTTGAGATATCTTCTACTGAAAATAATACCACTTTGTCTGGGAAGCATTAGAAAACAACAACAAAGGAAATGCTGAAATGTGTGTATGTTTCTCTTGTGTATAAATTGGTCACCTGTTTTTTTTTTACTTCATTACTAATTGTTGATTTCTCACAATAATGCAGGTATAAGGAAGCAGACGTCAAGGGAAGAGACTTAATCACACAATAATCAGAGCTGGAATTTTAAATAGTACAGATCATTAGTATGCTAATGAATTTTCTCACTTTTTGCCAGCTGCCCAAGTATAAAAGATATTGCAGATGTAGTGCAGTGGCTCTCTGTGCTGAGAGCTGTCAGTGCTCCTTATAAAGGAGATTTGACAAAAATCCTTTCATAATTTTAGAGATGCTCAAAAATGTTTTTCTTATTGGACAGTAGACGCATTAACAAGTAACATATTGATCTGTATTTTAAAATGAATAGTACTGATTTTTCCCTTTCCTATAGTAAATTTCTTCTGAGGGAATCAGAAAGCTTCTATAAATGGGATTAACTGTTGTTGCTGTTTTATAGTTAAGAAAGCCAGACAAATGGGAGTTATGATGTTTTACCTGATGTATTGTTAAAACCAAGTTTTATGGTCTAATATTAGATATGCAAGTTGGTCTTGCCTGTGTCAGAGGTGTTGGAGCTTGATGATTCTTGAGGTCTCTTCTAAGCCAAGCCATTCTATTTTGAGTTGAATTAATCACTTTCATAAACAGATTCGAAATGATGCTTTATGTGAGCTTTGAATTTTTCTAGACCACAGAAATTTCTGTAGCTTAAGAGTGGTGATTCAAGATTTCCAGTGCTTTTATCAGAACTTTGCTGTTGACCAAATCTGCCTTTTAAAGTCCAAAGATTCAGTTATGGCAAGGAAGATAATTGCTTTACAGCTCAGAACAGCCATGACCATGCTCCAAAAACGTGAAACGTAATTACTTCCCTGTCCAGCAAACTGCTGGATTGTACTTAAATATCCTGGCTTGTGCTGATTGGCCTTTGTAACTTAGGGCTGGAAATGAAATCTACCCTCTTTGTCTCAATTTCCTCATTACCACTAGTGCCTCATTTGCTGAATTCTTTTTCTGTCTGCATTTACCCAATTTTTCAGGGAAAGAGTCTCCTGGTAAATAATGTATGTATTTCACAACCTAATTGCTAGGTTATGCTCGCCAATTCATCTTAAGTAGAATTTCTATACTGAATTAATTTCTAAAGGAAATATAAAATAAAGACTATCGTGTACATCATAATCGCTTTTTAATAACTCCCACTTTATTTTTAACCATTGTTTAGAATGTGATATTTTTATTTTTATTGCTGCACTCCCACTGAGGGTTTTATTGTCTAAGAAATTTCTGGTGTAAGTCTTAAAGCTCTTACCAGCCTGCTTGTAGGCTGTTTAACACTATGTGGAAATGAACAAAATGAGAAGCTCAACCTTTCTGAACTCTTTTTACATTGTATTTGCCAAATGCAGCATGAGTAATTGCATTCTGCTCATTGGTACTTTTTTTGCTATTTCATTTGAGAAATTGGTATTTACGTATTTGCTTAGGCTTCTACTGTTGTGTATATTATCAGCATTTAATTGATTATGAGTATGATTCTTCATTTTCTATCATCTGTCAGATTAAGTGTAGCTACATTCTTTCTTTGGACTTAGAATTCTGTAATAGTAGGTAGAGGCCATGTTACGAATTGTTATGCAACTTTAAGGATCGAGTCTGGACCGACAGTTTTCATTCCATTTCAGGCTTTCACAAAATCTATATAAAATAAGTGAAAATGTGAGTTGGTTGTTGTGTGTTTGCATTTGTGTTTGCTTGTTTGTTTGTTTTTTTGAGTGAGTACTCTGAAAAATAATATTTGAGTAG